CCCCCCCGTGCTCCCAGTGCCCCCAGTGACCTTCTCCAGTGCCCTGAGGACGCTCTGCCGCTCCCGCAGCTTCTGGATGCTCAGGGCGATCTTGTGCCGGGCGCCTTTGGTGACGTTCTGGGGGGGGACAGCGGGGGGGTCACGGCCCTGCCGGGGGGTCCAGGGATGCGGGGGGGGGTCCCGGGGACGCCCCCGGCCCACCTGTGACTCCAGGTGATGCTCCGTCAGCGTCATCATCTCCTCGTAGCTCATCTGGGCGAACAGCGCCGCGTACTTGTGCAGCCGCAGGCTCTTGAGCCACGAGGGGACGTCTGGGGGGGTACGAGGGGGGCTGTGAGGTGGCGGCCCCCCCCGAAGAACCCCTAAACCCCCCCCGCAGGGAGCCCTCCCCCAGCCCACCCTTCATGCCGCTGCCGTCCTCCTGGAAGGAGTTGCGCCCGCCGGGCTCCTCGGTGTGTTCGCTGCCCGACGAGGCCACGCTGCTCTGGGGGGACAGGGGGGCGTGTTCCCCGAACGGGGGGGGGGGCCCTGGGGGCCGCGGGGGGGTCCTCGGGGCCCCCGCCCCCCGCCCACTCGCCCCCCTGGCCGGGCTGGGGGCTGCCGGGCACCAGCGACAGCGAGCGCTTCAGGGGGCTGGGGTGCAGCTGGCAGGGCAGGGCTGGGGGGCACAGGGGGGGTCAGGGGGGTTGGGACCCTCCCCAGACCCCCAAAGCCTTGCTGGACACCCGGGGGCCCCTCCCTGTTCCCCCCCCCCTGCACACACCCAGGGTTGGTGTCCCCCCAACCCCTCCCCGTGTCTCCCAGGTGCCCCTCAGCCCCTCTTCCCATATTCCCCCCTTCGACCCCCAAGGTGCCCCCCAGCCCCCCAACGCCACCTCCAACCCCCTTCCCGTCCCCGTGTCCCTCCAGCTTCCTCCCTGCCCCACAGCCCCTTTCCCCACCCCGCACTCGGGCCCTTCTCCTCCCCCCCCCCCCCCCCCCCCCCCGCCCCCCCCCCCCGGCCGCTCGACCCCTCCCCACGCCCCCCCCAGCCCCCCTTTCCCCCCCAACCCCCGTTTCCCCCCCCCATTACCTCCCCCCGCCCCGTGGTACGCGGGGTGCCCGTTCTCGCGGGGCGGGGCCGCCCCACCGCCCCCCCCGGGGGGCTCCGCCCAGGCCCCGCCCGGCTCCGGGGGGTGCTCGGGGGGCCACTCGTGGGCGGGGGGGCGGCGCGGGGC